AAAAAAAAAAAAAAAAAAAAAAAAAAAAAAACCCAAACTGCAAGTTAAACTGAGTGGCTCTAAAGTCTGCTATCCTTCTCCCAGCAAAACTACATGAGACAAAGGAGGAAAGGTTCTTTGACCTCCTACATTAAAATTAAAGTATAAATCCTACCTTGTGTAGGGATAGCTGCCGTTCCACAAATTCTGACACATTCCCCCAAATGGTAGAGACTTCTGAAATTCAAAGGAAACAAAAAATAATTTATGAGAGCACCCCTGTAATAGTATCTTAGTGCTAATAAATTAAAATATAGGGGGCTTCCCTGTTGGCGCAGTGGTTGAGAGTCCGCCTGCCGATGCAGGGGACACGGGTTCGTGCCCCGGTCCGGGAAGATCCCACATGCCGCGGACCGGCTGGGCCCGTGAGCCATGGCCGCTGAGCCTGCGCGTCCGGAGCCTGTGCTCCGCAACGGGAGAGGCCACGACAGTGAGAGGCCCGCGTACCGCAAAAAAATAAATAAATAAAATAAAAAATGTAAATGCAGAATACAATAACAGTAATTTCTAGTTAATTTAGAATTAACAGAAAATAAGGTCATTCTCCAAAGTTAATTTTCCTGGTAAGTAAAGCTACCCCTTTAAGTTCCCAAAATGTGAAGGAGGCGGAGGAAGAGGATGGGGGAAAGGGAGGAAGGGAGGAGGGGGAGGGGAAGAAGAAGAAATTTCTGAAGAAAATCTTCCTAGAATAAAGGGAAATCTGTCACTCCTTTCCCTTTATTCTATAAATAGAGTTAACCAAGTATAATATAGCCTTTTATTAATGACCCATTCAACAAACCTCTAAGGGTCTACTCTAGTATCTGATTAACATGAACATTCATTCTTGCACCATTCTATAACACAGGAAGACGGCCAGGGGCCACTAAGGCATGAAAGGCTGTTGTCTGTACACTAACTGTTTCTGTACTTCTATTTTGGCTAAATTCTTGACTCTGCTTTTCACTCTCATTTGTCACTGTTGGCCTCCAGCTGTTGCTTCTTTCTGCTACTAGTACTTTGCACTTTCTGCTTTTGAATGGTCAAAGGGAGGCCTTCTAGGCTTCTTTTCTTGTTCTGAGCTGTGTTCCCAAAAAACTGTGGTAGAAAAATAAGTAGTTGCCAATAACTCAAGTGTTAATATATGATATGAAGGTATACTCTAGTTATAACTAATATTCATAAATATAGAAAACTATGTCTGTATTGACATTTCCATTCCAAACCTAGTCAGGAGTTTATTACAGATACGTTTCACTGATGAACTCTTGACAAATGAAAAGAGTGTTATGTTTTAATTCTTAAAGTAAAGGATCAAGAACAGTGGCATTTACCAGGTTGCCACCTCAGGTCATAGATGCAGTTGGGGACAAAAACCAATTCTTTCCCCATTTTAGAAACTGCTGGATTTATTGGTATAACTGTTTTCCCTAATGGTGCAAACCACTACCTACAGCAGAAAATTGCAGTCTTTTAATCCAGTATATCAGGGTTATTAATATTTTTAATATGCCAGAGAAAGAGCAGGTTAGGCAACAAGAAGTAGCAGTGACTCTTATGAGCATCTAGGAACAAGTTGGGTGATGGAAACTTACTCAGTCACCAAGAAAACTAGGGCTGCATGCTACAGTGAGCCAAATGCCAAGATTCTGCCCTTCACTCCAAACCACGGATATACAGTTTACGATAATCAGGTATTTCTTCTATTCCATCCCATCCTACTGCATTTCCCACTGCTCCTCTCCCCCGCAGACAAAAGGATTCTACTGCTGGCTGCTAAGAACTAAGAAGGGATTTCAAACAGTCCCAACTGTTTTCTGAGTTCAAATTTTCATCATGACTAAAAATATTATTAATTCACTAATGATACAGAATCCCAATATCCAGACGTACATGGAGACTTTTCAAAGCAAAACTCTGAAGCCTTTCACCTAGACTCATGATATGAAGCTCAAATTTCAGGAAAACAATCTAACCAAAGGAAATGATTTAATTAGGGCCAGGAGAAACTAGATAGCTTGCAACCAAACCCTAGTGGAAAGACTTGACTGAGCTTAATTAGAAATTTGAAGACTGTCTTTCCTCATTTGAATGATACATTCAAGTCCCCTGTGTCCTTTTACTCTATAAAATCTAATAGGCAAAGTCATATAAGAGCAGAGTTATTATTCTAAACTGAAATCTGATATTTTTCACTGAAGGAAAAGGAAAACATGTACAAGATTTCCTTTAGAAAGTTTTAGACTCCTGCAATTCAAATGGAATAGATTTGGAAATCTTACAGACTGTGATTTCTAACTTTGATGTTTTCTATATCCCAAAGTGTCAGAAAAGGTATCACTAAATCTCAAAAGAAAAATAATTTTAATCCAGTCTAAAAAGCAAATTAAAGAATATGCTTTTTAGGAAAGCTGAGGTTATTATTTATTTTAATCAAATACTGAAATACCAAGAATCACAAGAAATAATCCCTGAACATACCTTCTATATTCAATTCAACCTTCATCTGACTTCAAATTCTAAACATTTTGTGCATTCAAAACCATATTTTTAAAGACAGTGCCAAGTGTATTCCAAGCAGGAATACTGTACCTTATATATAATCATTATAAAAAAAGGGCCAAGTGCCCATTATGTAAATTATAGAATAATATATACTTGAAATAGATATTAATATGAAAAGACAAGCCCCCTGACTTTATAAAACATCTTCTAAAATTAAAATACTGATATACAAACACAGCAAATTATTACAGAGTGATTTGGACAAGGAAACGTATTCCCAGAGCACAGTACAGTGGAAAAACCAGTGTGCTGTGTGTCTGAAGACCTACAGCCTTCCTGCCTTCATGGATTGCTGGCTATGTAGTCTTCAATAGTTTCAACCAGTTCACATCTGTAAAATGATGATGGTACCCTCTAAGTACTATAACTACCTAATATTAAACTTTGGTGAAACATATGAAAGCAGCAGGCCTTAACACACACAATGATGAAAAATTAATTTGTGTGTTTTGCTGATACTGGGAGTTTATCTTCATCTCCTTTACAGTGGGTCATTTGTGAAAGTTAAGTAAATAGTCATTTGACTTTTGCTTCTGTCATTCAATCAATAAAGGTCTTGCTGAAATCACCAATGGTCTCCTTGTCAATAAATTCAACGGACTTGTTTAATTGTTCACCTCTCTGACCACTCCCTCCTCCTTTAAGCCCCTGTCCTTTTGGCTTTTGTGAGACACTACTCTCTCCTGGGTTTTCTTCTTACCTCTCTAGGTATTTCTTCTCAGTCTCCTTTGCAAGCTTACCTTCCTCAACCCAGGAGATGTTAAATGTTGGAGTTTCTCAAGACACAACCCCAAGCCGCCTTCCCTTTTCACTCTATACTTTCTGCCTAAGCAGTCACATCTATGCCCAGGGCTTTAACGACCACCAATATGCAGATGACCCCAAATGTTTACTTAGAAGCCCAGACACCCTCTGGTCTTTTGAGGTTGCAGACCTGTGTACCCAAATGCCTTCTTGGATATCTCACAAAGACACTTTAACTTGGATTTTTCCTTCCCTTAAATGTTGTCCTTTTCCCAGGGTTTCAATCTCAACAAATGGTCCCATCATTTACTCAGTTACATAAGCTGGGGACTCAGAAGGCATCCCTGAAACTCCCCTTCTCTGTCACCTCTATATCCAGGCCATCACTATAATTTGTAGTTTTTCTCCAAATAGCCTTTCAGTCTGCCCACTTCTCTCCATTTTTACTGTTACCAATTCAAACCAAGAGTGAATTCAGATGACTCATTCCCACTTAGGTTACTGTTATAGGCATTCTTTACCCTCCAATTCATTCTCCACATTGCCACCAGACCAGTCTTCTCAAAATGCAAATTTGACCATGTCATTCAGCTCCTCCTTTAGCTCCACTCAAAACACTTAACAGCTTTCCCTCAGGCTGAACATAAAAGCCAACATCCTTAACATGACTTATAAGGCCATGCCTAACCTGACCCCTCCATTTCCCTCCAGCCTCCTTTACGAACACATTCCCTAGTGCAGCTATAGCGCTACAGAGCATGTTGACCTTCTTTCAGCTCCTCAATCACACCATGCTCCCTCCCTCCAGAGCTTTTGCTCTTGCTATTCTCTCTGCCAAGAACACTCTCCCCTCCCCTCCACTCCCTATTCAACTGATCCATTTCACCTACTAAATTCTGAAACCTAGCAGGACGCTGTGGGGCCTTCCCAGCGACAAAGCCCCCACCCTCTGTGTCCCCTGCCTATTGCTTGTAGGAAAGCTTTAGCCTCCTAGGCCTTCCCCGAGTTCCAAAGAGCAAATTTAATCAGAGAAGTGAGAAAATGCAAAAACGAAGGAAAACAGTCAAGCAAGACAAAATAATAAGAGTTTAGCCATAGGGCTTCCCTGGTGGCGCAGTGGTTAAGAATCCGCCTGCCAATGCAGGGGGCATGGTTCGAGCCCTGGTCCAGGAAGATCCCACATGCCACGGAGCAACTAAGTCCGTGTGCCACAACTACTGAGCCTGTGCTCTAGAGCCCACGAGCCACAACTACTGAAGCCCGCGTGCCTAGAGCCCGTGCTCCTCAACAAGAGAAGCCACAACAATGAGAAGTCCGCGCACTGCAACGAAGACCCAATGCAGTCAAAAATAAATAAATTAAAAAAAAAAAAGAGTTTAGCCACAAAGCAAAGTCAAGAACTTTCAGTTCCTCTTCAAGGGCTAAAGATAATGTCCTGAGCCATATCCTTGAGTTGTTTTGCAGATACTAAAAGCCCCACCAGGTGGAGGAAGTTAACTGCATGCAGACCACAAGCATGTAGATCCCAGACAGGTTGGAATTAGAAGGTTGGTGACTGATATTCCCGAAACATCACCCTGTTACCTCAACATCAATGAAGCATAGAATCATACACGAGCTGAGCATGCACCCTGCAACCCTCTCCCTCACACTGTCTTTAAAAACCCTTCCCTGAAAGCCAACGAGGAATTCGGTTCTTTTGAGCATGAGCTTCCCATTCTCCTTGCTTGGCCCTGCAATAAAGGCTATACTTTCCTTCACCACAACCTGGTGTCAGTAGATTGACTTTGCTGCACATTGGGCAAATAGACCCAAGTTGGTTTCATAACAATTCCAACTCATTCTTCACATCTCAGCTCAAATCTTCCCTTCTTCAGCAAATCTTGACACACACCTCCATCCTCACCCTCATTTAAAGTTCTCATTGTACCATGCACCTCCTTAGTAGCACTGACTAAATGTAAATTTATATTTATTTCTGTGACTACTTGGTTAATGTGTATCTTCCCCATTAGATTGTAAATTCCAAGGTTTTGCTCAACGTCAGTCCTCTAGTGCCCAGCACATAGTAAGTTCTCAAAATACTTGAACTGAAGAAATTATATATAAATTTACAAATATGGAAAATATTTAAAAATCCATAAAGCCATTATTTTAAACACTTCTTTTAGAATTAACAGGAAAAATAGGAGTGATGAAGGGGAAAGAGAAAGAAGAGGCATGTACTCCTATTTATTTTGTCTCCTAAGATTGTTTGGTTAAAGCCTAGGCATCATCCCTAAGTTACAATGACTTAATAGCAATAATAGCTTGCATTTCTGGAGCACCTTTCTTCCCAAGGGCTCCTGTTGCTTGCAGACAGATCTCAGTGTCACTTTAGGGTCACTTTTTTAAGAAACTATGTTTTTAACCAAGCCTAGTAAGTTTTCTATGAGAAGATGTCGGGTCTTCTTCCAAACACCCAGTTTTTTTTGTTTTTTTCTTTTATCTCACTTTCTTAACACAACCCCAAGATACCACTGGCAACAAAAGTAGCCTTGTCTTTGCATGAATTCTGAGAAGGAGCCCTTTGCGGTGGTTGTTTTAGCTAACGTTTATTGAGCACTTACTCCGTGCTAGTCCGTGAGCTAAGCCCTGTGTATACATTATCTTGTTTAATCAAAGACCCTCAGCTGGGGCTTCCCTGGTGGTGCAGTGGTTAAGAATCTGCCTGCCAATGCAGGGGACACCGGTTTGAGCCCTGGTCCCAGAAGATCCCACATGCCACAGAGTAACTAAGCCCGTGCACCACAACTACTGAGCCTGCGCTCTAGAGCCCGCCAGCCACAACTACTGAAGCCTGTGCGCCTAGAGCCTGTGCTCCGCAAGAAAAGAAGCCACTGCAATGAGAAGCCCATGCACGGCAAGGAAGAGTAGCCCCACTCACCACAACTAAAGAAAGCCCGCTGTCAGCAACGAAGACCCAAGGCAGCCAAAAGTAAAATAAATAAATTTATAAAAACCCTCAGCTGGCCCCTTTCTCTCATTAAAGAAGTCAATAAAGAAAGTGTATTTGGACGTCCAGCGTGAGGCTGCCAAGGCCACACGGCCACTCAAGGCCTGCCAGAGACAAGGGATAGGGAAGAAGGTCTCCGCCTTGACCCCCAAGCAGGTAAAGGTTCATTCCCAGGGCCCCCTGCCCCATGTCGCTTACCCTCCTTGCTCAGCGAGGGCAGCGTGTGCATCATGTGCCTGCCTAGGTCCTGCAGGGAAGGGACGATGGTGTCCAAAATCTCCAGTCCCCAGTCGGCTGGGTCTTCAAAGTGTCTCTTTTCTTCCTTCTTTATATGGAGTTTACACAAACGTGATTTTCCCACTCTCCTGGGAAATTTGGATGTGTCTTAAAAATAAAAATGACCAAATCTTGATTTTACTTTCTTTCTTAAACTTTTTTTTCTCGCCGTCCCTCCCCCACTCTGGCTCTCCCGGAAAGGCTCCCACTACAGGAACTCAGAGAGCTGTCTGGCGCTTGAATCAGAAAGTGCAAATCCAAGCCCTCGGGACCACCAAGTGAGAGTGTTTGCCGGAGCGGTGAGCTAGGTAGGGGGACCAAGGGAGGGCAGGCCAGTCAAGGGGAGGGAGGAACGTGTTGCTAGGACGCGACAACGGCTTGCTCCGTTGCCAGGTAGTCAGAGTAGGGCCTCGGCCCCGCCCCCTTAGGTGGATCAGGTCGGGTCCCAGGTGGCCCGGGTGATTCCGGGAAGAGATTGGGAAGTAACTTAATGTTTTTAAACTTTGTTTTTTCCTTACCCTCTTACCCTGAGCAGAGAAGAGACTTGGTCGCTTTTGTAATCACCTTGGACAAAATCTGGGAAAACCTTTTGCCCCAAGTGATGGACTTCTGAATCTCTGGGTCTGTTTGAGGGTTTGAGTGTGAGCTGGAATTTGTTTCTCGGGTTTGATTTTTCCTAGGCTCCCCTCATAGGAAATGGAGGGCAGCAGGTTTGGGGAGGGAGTTGACTTTTTTTTTTCATTACAGTCATTTTTTCCCCCTTCCTTTTACACTTAACCAATCTCATCCTGTAGAATTGTTTTCATACTCTCTCCTCTGCTGATAATGAAGTATCACAAAGCAAACACACCCATGTAAACCCCATCCAGATCAAGAAATAGAACTCCATCAGTACCACAGAGACGCACTTCATTCCCCCACCAGGCATTATTCCAACAAATACTATAAATTAGTTTTACCTGTGTTTGAACTTTTGGAATCATACAGTATGTATTCTTCTGTGTGTGGCTCTGTCACTAAACGTTGTGAGATTTCTCTGTGGTTTCTGCAGTAGCAATTTGTTCATTTTCAATGTTGCATGTTATTCCTTTGTGTGACTATGGCACTATTTATCCATTCCTCTGTTGAGGGGATGTGAGTTGTTTCCATTTGGAGCCATTAGGAATAATGTTGCTGCAGACATTCTTGAACACAATTTTTGATGCACATATGTACTCATTTCTGATATGTATATAACTAGGAGTAGATGACTGGGTTATGAGAAATGCAGATTTTAACAAATAATGCCACACGGATTTCTAAAGTGGTTGTCCCAATGGTGGGAGGGAAGAACTTCCGGCACGTAGTGTTGGCAGAGACCATAGATGCTCTGGAGCCTGCAATGCACAGGGCAGTCCTGCACAGTGAAAATTGTTCCACATTCTGCACCATTTTTCATATCTCATCAGACTTCCATGTAAGAAGGAAAAAAATAAAAAGGCTGCTTATGAGCCTAGAAAAAAATCCACTTTACATGTAAATACAAAGAAATTTTTGTTCAATTTCAATATAACTTAATTTCCTAAGAATTTAAAATCCAAGTAAATTGGGGGGAGACTACGCTCTTTTTCAGGATTTAAAAAGAATTCTTCACCAGTTAGGAAAATTATATCATCATCATCAATTAGGCTGGTGGTAGCTGAGTAGCCAACACACCTGAACTAAGCTGCATTTGTAGCTGTTGCATTCAAAGTGATTCTTCCTATAGATAAAGCATGTGGTAACTTTGTTTGCCTTCCAGCATAGTCATGCCTGGACATATACGTGTTAAAATATGCATTATTTTACTATACAGTACTTACCTTTAATTTCTCTGATATACTAGAGTTATGACTTTATATTCATTTTAAATGGTATGCTGTATTATATGGTATATTATCCATAAACCTCATTTCAGGATAATAAGAAGGCATTTGTTATAAAAAAAAGTGAGCTTCCCTGGTGGCACGGTGGTTAAGAATCCGCCTGCCAATGCAAGGGACATGGGTACGAGCCTTGGTCCAGGAAGATCCCACATGCCTCGGAGCAACTAAGCCCGTGCGCCACAACTACTGAGCTGCGCTCTAGATCCCATGAGCCACAAGTACTGAGCCAGCGCACCTAGAGCCCGTGCTCCATAATAAGAGAAGCCACAACAATGAGAAGCCAGGCCAACACAGCGAAGGGTAGCCCCAACTAGAGAAAGCCTGCACGCAGCAACGAAAACCCAATGCAGCCAAAAATAAATTAATTAAATAAATTAATTAAAAAAATTTTTTTAATTAATAAAAAGAAGAATTGTTCTATCTCATAAAACTGAGAACCTCTGTGCTAGAAAATGGCAAGCTCTATAACTCAGCCTCTTTCTCTCTCTACCTAGTTCACTAAGAAGCTCAGAACTAAGTTCTGGGCCTTTCTTAAGCTAATTTCTTAGAAAAATAAGTTCCCCTCACCCTCCTTTTTACCGTCTGCCTTTTGTCCTTTAGTCTGCTGATGGTGGTGTGTCTTGAAGCACTTGTCCTTGCAGCATAGATGTCTCAAATCTTTGGGGGAAATAAGCAGAGAAGATTGCTAAATGGATCAGCCGCAAGCAAAGGGCAAACTCTTTTGTGACGTTTGTCTGAACAGTTGCCCAGCCGGCTATTTTTAGTGGCAATATCAGCATTATTGTTCTATCTTAAGATAATAATGGAATTGTAAAAATATATTAGTTTCCTAGAATAATAGATTAGATTTTGAGTGAATTATGGTGATGACAATTTTAGTGTCTAGAAAAGCTATCTTCAGTTTCAGAAGACGGTTATGAATGACTGCTAATTATTAGTGAATTGTAGATGGCCAAAGGAGGATCTACAAAGGATAAAGACAAAGACCTTTCTTTCAAGGTCATCTTTTCCTTTTGTCAAAGGTCTCCTGACAAAAGAGGCTGTGGAAACACACACGACCCTGTGTTTACTAGCAACTTCCAATGAGCTGTTCATATCCTGAAACTACATACACTTCAGCTGAAAATAAGCTTAAGCAAACTGTGCAATTCCATTGCTAATAATTCACTCTTTGGATATACCTGCATGATACATTAAAAAAAAATGTGTATGCAACATTGTTTGTAATGCTAAATCTTAGAATTAACCTAAGATAACCAGCATAGGCAACTAGTAAAATTATAAATCTGTACTTTGAAATACAGTTTTAAGAGTTTGCTTAAGGGACTACCCTCGTGGCGCAGTGGTTGAGAATCCACCTGCCAATGCAAGGGACACGGGTTCGATCCCTGGTCCAGGGGGATCCCACATGCCGTGGAGCGACTGAGCCCATGTGCTGCAACTATTGAGCCTGCGCCCTAGAGCCTGCAAGCCACAACTACTGAGCCCGCGTGCCACAGTTGCTGGAGCCTGCATGCCTGGAGCCCATGCTCCACAGTGGGAGAGGCCACCGCAGTGAGAGGCCCGCATACCGCAGCGAGGGGTAGCACCTGCTCTCCGCAACTAGAGAAAGCCCGCGTGCACAGCAATGAAGACCCAAAGCAGCCAAAAATAAATAAATAAACATAAAAAAAATTTTAAAAAAAAACTTTGCTTAAAAGAAAGATTACATTTATGTGCTGATATTTTAAAAGTTTCAAGATTATTAAGTAAAAACCTGTTGCAGAATAGTATTTATAATATGATCCTATTTGTTCCAAAAACACATATATATGTAATTATACATGCATTTTTATATATATATTAGTAAATGCATATAATATTTGAGAAAAGATACACAAAAAATATTAACAATGGTTATTTTTGGATACCATGAAATTGTGTGTAAAAGTACAAGAGTTCAGAAAACCTTTCACTTTTCTCCTTTATTTACTGTTTACCAAGAACATGGATTACTTTAATAATATTTTAGAGATAATTTACCAAAGAAAGAGAGACAGAGAGAGAAAGGTAGAGGCAGAGTGCAGAGATTCATGTAAACACTGAAACAGACAAACTGGGCCAAAGTTTTCCAAAGTACTTCAATGTACATATACTTTTCTGCAAGCTCCAACTTGCCTTGCAAAACCCACACTGAATGAGCAGTCGCTTTTACCCAGGTCCCAAAGCGTACACAATATTCAGTGGCTCATATTCAGGGCAACTTAGAAACCTACTGAAAAAGAAAACGTTTACAATACAATTTAAAAAACTGACAACACCAAATGCTGGCAAGGATGTAAAACAACATACATTGCTTGTGGAGGTTAAAAAGGAAACAACCTCTGAAAATTAGCAGTTTCTTAGGAATTTAAACATACACTTACCACATGACCCAGCAACTCCACTTTTAGACATTTACCCAAGAGAAATTTATGTCCACACAAAACTTGTCCACAAATGTACATAGCATCTTTATTCATAATAGCCAAAAGCTAAGTACAACCCCAAATGTTCATCAACAGAAGAATGGAAAACCATTTGTGCAATGGAATACAATGGAATACGAATCCACTGACACATACAGTAATATGGATGAATCTCAAAAACATGTTGAATGAAAGATGCCAGACCCAAAAAAGTACATTCTATATCATTTCATTTTTTTGAAGTTCAAGACAGATCAAACTACTCTACAGTAATAGAAATCAGAGCAGTAGTTGGTTATGAATGGTAAGGATTCACTGCAATGTGACATAAGAGAACTTTCTGGAGTGATGGAAATGTTCCATATCTTGACTGCGGTGTCGGTTCCAGGTGTATATTTTTGCCAAAACTTACAGAATTGTACACTTAAAACATGTGCATTTCACTGAGTGCAAGTCTTACCCCAATTTTTAAAAATGTAAATACAGACACTATTTTCACTGAAAAAAAAATACATACTCTTGTTTTTATATTACACAGCACCAGAATAAAAATCTTCAATAAATAATTTAATCCATATCTATTGAATATCTAATTTGTATCAAGCACTTTGCTATTTGCTAAGAGAAATACAGCAGTAGAAAATCCCTACTGCAATTCATTCACAATTTATATACAATTCATTCATATTTAATAAGTATTTATTGAAGAT